TATAAGATGGTAAATATCCCTGTGGATATAATTAGCCAAGTTTCTATTGTTTTAGTTATTTGTAATAAATAATACTTAAAACTTAAGTTTTGTTTACATATTTTAACAAAATTTACATACAAATAATATGTTGTTAAATATTTTTGATCAATAATGGTTTTCGCGATTGAAGGATCCGCCAGATGGCGATACGTGGACGCGGGGTCCAGATGCTGCGTGATTGGTTATTTTTGACATAACATTGACAGATATGTCAAAATCCACCAATCACGCAGCGGTCGGACCCACGTCCGCGTCCCGCCATCTGGCGGATTTTTCAATCGCGAAAACCCACATTGACATGGTCTCGCTAGACATACCCTCATACGTTTACTTTCTTTATCTGCAATATTTTTATTCATAATTATAATAAATAGATTTAATTTATTATTTGCTTTTACTAACCGATTTCAAAAGAAATTGGGCTGCAGTTTTTTAGCAGATGAAAACAATATTTTTTGTAAAACTTATTCCCCTAAAGCTTCTTACTTGTCAAGTATTATCGTAGGATCAATGAGAGTACTTATGAAAAAAAGATGGTTTGTATCACAAACGTTAATTCTTATAACTTCGGGCTCAACATCCGAATTGTTATAGTAAATGTATATTATGGATTTATAAATTTTCAGCTTTTTTAATGTAATCAGATTTTCGTCTAGTGGCGACTGTATATTATTATCGATATTTTGTGTATATCAGTGGACAAATAGCGAGGCGTGCGTAGCCCCGAGTCGGTCCACCGCGAGGGGGCCGCGGCCGCCGCGCTCTAGTGCCTTGTGTCGGCGCGGCCGGCCGCCACGCCGCCTCGCGCCAAGACACCGGAAGAGCATTGGCAGGCTGCAAGTATATTATTTTGTTTAAAATAAAATAAAATTTTATTAATACTATTGTTGTTTTATTGCTTTGAACAGCAAGGTTCCTTGCCGCTTATGGCACATCATAATACATTATTTTGTACTTGCTTATTTTACAGTGTGTCCGGTCACCAGTGTCCGACCCGTTAGGGCGCAGTAAAATCCACTGGAATAAAACATTTTATCCCTACTATTAAAGAATTACAGCTATCCCTTAACATTTTTAAAGTAATTAACTTTTTTTTTCTAACATACAAATACTAGGATGTAACCTAATAGATAAATCCGTAGGACAAAGTATGTATGTAAAATAACTGGTTCTTCTTTGCTGTTATACATTTTTCCCATCAAATCATCATAACAGACTATTTTGTCATTATGGATACCATGTCCCCTGTAGTAACCAATATTATCGGGACAATGAAGGAACAAATTCTACACTCAAGTAAACCGATATGGTCACCCTACTCAACGTTTTCCTTATGGATTGTAAAAAAGAGACCCTATCTTTTATAATATAACACACGACGATTGGTTCGTCAAATTTTAGTACAACATTTTTCACAATTTCTGATGTAGGTAACTAGGTCTTCTACCTATGAGTTTGGGTTTATGAAACATAGGTAGGTAGTTCAAGATAAGGATCACTCAGTTGGGACGATCGAGAAAAAACAAGATTTTCATTTTCTCTTAAACCAGTAGGATGTCAATCTTCTTTCTTTCACAGATTTTCCCAGAAGCATAATTTGTAATAAACATGATGTTTCATACTTGTTCACTTAGATTATAAAGCCTTTATTAATCTAAGCTTTTTCAGTATAAGGTGGTGTTTTAAAAGATCACTCAATAGAACATAGTGCATTCTGAGTGATCCATATCATAAACCGTTCTAAATCTTATAGGTAGAGGTATGTGGCTTTGAATCGAATCAAAAAAATTTGTTTAGCAGCTTTCAGATTCTTTACAATTAATTCAAACGCAAATTATAAACACATCTGGGATACGCGTTATGGCTTATTCAGTTATTCTTCAGGTGTCCAGATTGAGTGATCCAGTTAATAAGTTCTAGCTTTCTTTTTTTAGGTTTCGCATATTTAATACCTAACCATGAAGTTTTCACAGTTATTTCCTAAATCCTCTCAAAATGACATTGGGAACTTTTTGCCCCACTTTTCGAAAAGTAGCGGATACAAACGAAACCTATCACAGATGATACATACTAATATCCAATGAATTTCCGTGCATTTTTTTTCTCTCTTATATGGGAATATTGAGAAAATGAAGTTTTAATGTTTTATTTTATTTTACATTTAGGTAACATTTTTGACGACCTCCGTGGCGGAGAGCCGCACTGGCCGCACACACCGGTTTTCAAGGTGTGCCGGGCCAATCCTGAGGTCCCGGGTTCGATTCCCGGCCGGGACAATATAGAAAACGATCTTTTCACATTGTCTCTGGTTTGGGTGTGTTGTGGTTCGTCGTTCCCGATTTCCATAACACAAAATATGCCTTAGCTACTTATTTTGGGTTGGAGTAATACAGTGTGTCCGGGCTTGTAGTGATCAAACTTTAATGGCGTAATCTATGGACAATTTTATCGATGAAAATACTTCAAATTTGGGGCTTGACGCATTTGTCGCAAAATTACGAGGATTTAAGTTTTTAATTTTTAGTTTTCACCTCTTCCTTCAAAAACAAGTGAAAACGTGGGTAACTTAACATTAATAAGCAAATATTTGATATCATGCGATAGTCAATAAAATTATCTATTAGTAGAAGTAGAAAACGGACACAAGTTTCATACATTTTATGGAAGTAAGAATGGATTGAATTAGAAAAAGACATGATTTTTTTCACTTCTTTTTCAGTTATTTTCCAACACAAGTAAAACCAGGTCATTAAAGTATGTTTTATTTGCATTGTATTATTAGTATTTGAGCTATTCTACAAAAGGAATGTAAATTTATTAGTCTACGTCTATTAGTTTCGACGTAATTGTTGAACAAAGATACCCCTTCCCAGCCGGTTCCATAGTGCTGCTAACATGTGAAAATGCACTGCCTGAAAGAATCACACAACCTATTCCGACGCGCTATGGAACCGGCTGGGAAGGGGTATCTTTGTTTAACTATTAAATCAAAACTAATAGACGTAGACTAATACATTTACATTCGTTCTGTAGAATAGCTCAAATACTAATAATACAATGCAAATAAAACATACTTTAATGACCTGGTTTTTCTTGTGTTGGAAAATAACTGAAAAAGAAGTGAAAGAAAACATGTCTTTTTCTAATTCAATCCATTCTTACTTCCATAAAATGTACGAAACTTGTGTCCATTTTCTACCGCTACTAATAGATAATTTTATTGACTATCGCATGATATCAAATATTTGCTTATTAATGTTAAGTTACCCACGTTTTCACTTGTTTTTGAAGGAAGAGGTGAAAACTAAAAATTAAAAACTTAGATCCTCGTAATTTTGCGACAAATGGGTCAAGCCTCAAATTTGAAGTATTTTCATCGATAAAATTGTCCATAGATTACGCCATTAAAGTTTGATCACTACAAGCCCGGACACACTGTATATGAGATGTTGTCTAATATTAATTTAAGTATTTATAATATTTTATTTATTTATATTATTTTATTTATATTTTTTATTTATTTATATTATTTTATTTATATTTTTTATTTATTTATATTATTTTATTTACTTTTATTGGTTACTCTGCAATGCCAAACAACATAACATGTAAAAATATCAAATCATTTTAGACAAATATATTTTCAACCTAGACTCGTCATATCTCAGAATTCCCATATCTCACAACATAGCGCTTTAAGTGAATATACTACCTACAAATATAAAGCTTTGAAATAAAATACGTTTCATCTTTGTCCGCCATGGGGCATTTTCTCATATTAAAGTTCCCAATGTCCTTTGGTTGTGGTTGGATGAGTGTTGAAAAGATCACTCAGTCCACCAGCGTTGCCAGTTTTTTTTTTTGCCAAGTCGGGACTTTGGTACTTTTTGAGTGAAAATAACGGGATTCTTCCGTCAGAAGCGGGACATAGTAATAATACGTATATATCTAATCAAAGGTTTTCAAATTTATCTTTTTAATTAGGGTTTTCGCGATTGAAAAATCCGCCAGATGGCAATACGTAGACGCGAGGTCCAAATGCTGCATGATTGGTGGATTTTGCGACATATCTGTCAATGTCATGTCAAAAATAACCAATCATGCCACAATCATGCAGCATTTGGACCTCACGTCTACGTATTGCCATCTGGCGGATTTTTCAATTGCGAAAACCCTCATTGACTTAAAATTACGTTTACGTGACAATAGATAGCAAAAGTAGCCATAGAAAATGTATTATAACAAAAAAAAAATATTTTAAACTACGTACCTACGGTCGAGTTCTCTCCGAAAAGCGTGACAGAGCCTGTCCCGCGCGGGACATTTAAATTTGATTTAAAAATCGGGACGTCTGGCAACGCTGGTCTACACCAGCGTTGCCAGTTTTTTTTTTCGCCAAGTCGGGACTTTGGTACTTTTTGAGTGAAAATAGCGGGATTCTTCCGTCAAAAGCGGGACAAAGTAAAAAAAACGTATATAATCAAAGGTTTTCAAATATTTATCTTTTTATTTGACTTAAAATTACGTTTACGTGACAATAGATAGCAAAAGTAGCCATAGAAAATGTATTTCAACAAAAAAATTATATTTTAAATCAGATTTACTCTATCGTTAAATTCGCCTTTAGAATAAAAAAAGAAAAAAATTAAAAAAGTTTTATTTTTTTAGAATAATATGGCGTTTCAAACAATAGTCTGGTGAAGTGAGTGTCTCTCTCCGAAAAGCGGGACAGAGCCTGTCCCGCGCGGGACATTTAAATTTGATTTAAAAATCGGGACGTCCCGCCAAAATCGGGACGTCTGGCAACGCTGGTCTACACCCACATGTTCTATTCTTGGGTAGGTACTTTATAAACAAGGAATATGAAGGTAGTCATACTCAGGACCGAAACTGCCACGGAGAGCTGTATTGGCCGCCTCTACAATCGGCGTCGACTACGATTGAAATGAAAGCTTCTCTTTGATTAAATCTATTATTATTATTCATCAAAAAAATTGTGCAATCTAGGCAACCTTGAATGGCACCAAAAATTGAATTCACAAAAGAAAATAAATATGTACTGGTAACCAAGTCAAGCAACCTAGATTTAATGGGTACAGATTTCGAATACATATTAATATATACAGATTTTGGCTAATTCCATATCTGGAATGTTGTACAAGTACATAAAGTATGAATTAAGTCTAAGTCTACACATAATTTCACAAATATTAAATTTATAATTATAACCTTATGTACATTTAACTTTGTTTGAATCTCATTAGTATATTTTATGATACATCTGCATTTTGAACCACATTCCTATATTACACTCATTCTTCATTCAGTAGTGAGATACAGAATAAATGTTTTCAAACACTCCACACAATTATCAGTCTCAATGTCCTTAAGTACCTACACAGCTAAAATTTGGCAAATATAAGAGCTCAATCCTGTATCTTGATGTCACTTTTTGTAACATTCTGGTTCATCTGATCATTTTCATATTCCACAAAATCATCAAAAAGGCTTGGCCAAGCCTCGGTGTCATCATAAGTGCCAAGATCTTCTCCAACAAACTCACTAAAGTTTAAAAACATATACCAAGTGTCTTTGGGAATGCCTCGGATGTGAGTATTTTTCTCCAGATAACTCAGCCACTTATCTAATACTGGTGGTTCATTGTTTGTGAAGACTAGACGCCACAAGAGTACTGCTATATCTGTTGGCAGTATTCTTTGACCAGTACTTACATCTAAACCAAATTTAAATGTGAATCTATACAAATCTTTAAAACTTTCAGAATCTCTATTTAATCCACAAGTAATTTCATTCAACTTGAGCTGAATACCTTTAATAGAATCAGTTTTCATGTTTTTAAGGCCTTGTACAAACTCCGATTTTGTGAATCTGCACATTTGACTAGCATTTAACTTCCATGCAAGCACCAAAACTTTGAAATCATCAGGGTTCAGTTGTAAATCATTGCAAAGATTCTCTATTCCTTCTGCTAAAATAGCATCTTCTAATGAATCTTTATATTGGTCAAATAGTTGATTAATTTTATATTCAGAAATTCGTGGTTCACTTGTTCCTAATGATGACATAGTTCGAGGTATTGATGGCAATTTTTGATAGAATGTTTTTTGCGACTTGTCAGGACAATACTGAGTTTTTTGAGGATGTACTTCTGGGCAGGGTTCCCCTACCGAAGCCAAAGTATTAGCATTCTGCAAATTAGTGTTGTTCCTGTAAATTATGCTGTTCTCATTATTATGAAGAAGTGGTTCTTCCTGAGGATAGTCCGATACCATGACAGCAGGCACTTGATGGGTAGTGACAATTTCTGTCATCTCTGAAAAGAAACAATAACATTATTTTATTGTACATATTATTAAAGGCTTTCTTATTATTCTTTCTTGGTAAAAAGGCACCAATTAATGTAAATACTTACCATCTTTATTTCTTTGAGATGTACTGTTATCAGCATTGGCTTGATTTTTGAAACAACTTAGACAATGGCCCATTGGACAAAATGTTTATGGCAATAGTCACAGGCATACAATTAATAACACAAAGATGATAACTCCAGTCGATCTTATTCAATTCTTTAAAATATGTACTATAAAACATAATGGTAAGACAGAGAGTTTTGTATAAGCTCCTTCAATAACTTTGTCATGAAATCTGCAAAAGTAAAAATATTGTGATAAATATTTGTAGCAAAAAGTTTAGTACTTTGGTATACATTTACAATAATTAAAAACTAACTCAAAATTCAGTCAAATTTCAGAAGTAAAATTTACTAATTCTGCAGCAGGTGTCCTTATCCTGACCTGATCAAGTTCGGAAGCACAGGTATTGTAAAAGACATCAATGATGATGAAGTAGGTACCTACCTACCTGAATTCATTCCCTTTACAACTTTATTAAGATCATAATAGCATTGCTTATGTTGATATTCAAAGCTTGCAGTAAATATGGAAAAGAGTGTATAAATGTTTTTCGATAGCAAGGATTGAACGTACAAATACTTTTACTACTAATTCACTATTTTTCACGAAAATATAGACCAAAGAGTAAAATGACTGACAGTTCTCTTTTTTTGACATCAAACAGACAGTAGAACTGTCAATCATTTTTTTTTCATTCCAAAGATAGCATAATATGGATGAACTATACTGAGCCCCGCTTACGGTAACTTTTAACGTTTCCAATCCAGACACGCTTCTCGATTCTGCGATACGATTGGTCGTTCAACAGCGTACGTCAGCTGTTTTGACCAATCGTATTGCAGAATCAGAAACGCGTCTGGATTGTAGACGTTAATAAAAGTTACCGTAATCGGGGCTCTGAACTGTAATAACTCACCGTAAGAATTTAATTCCTCTATGCACCCACCAAACCCGTGACATTGACAGGGGGGCGCCATTGTCAATCGTCTATACCTAATCGCTGGTTCCGACTTTTGTCTAAGGATTTTTGCCACGTTTGCCGCGTTGGAAACTATATATAGTTCCAAAATACTGAACTGTCCTATGTATGCATGACATTGACAGTGGGGCGCCACCGTCAATACCGGATCGCTGGTTCCGATTTTTGCCATGTTGGAAACCATATAGTTGAACGATGGTAGCGCCCCCCTGTCATTGAGTTTGGTGGGACAGTTCAGCGTGGGTCATCTTTTTACCCATTATCACCCATTCTGGTGGGTGAAAACAAAAATAGCGTTTTTTTAAAGTGAGAAGTGGTATTTGTTGCTAAGGGGGCGTTCTAGTGTTACGTAATGCAATCTGGGGGGAGAGGAGGTCTTGAAAAACGTTACAATGCGTTACAGTGGCGGAAGCGCGGTTCGATTTCAAGTTTTTAAGCAGAAGTACTTTGTAGTTGGTGTTGTTATTTGTAACTTTATACCGTAATGTCATCAAAGAGAGAGTTTGGCATCTTTGGCATCACCCCCCCCCCCCTCCATGTCCTTGCCATGATCACAAATTATTGTGTTCCTACTAAATTTCTTCTAAATCGGTTCAACGATTCTTGAAATAACTACATTTTATAAAATAATTGGTCACATCATCATAACGTGATCAATTTTACGATTTGGCCACGACATAAATGCATATTAGTGTTAAATTTGACTTATTACTTATTAATCAATAAACTTAAATGAGAAAAATTCAATAAAAATAAAGAAAAGATACCAATTGAAATAATTATAAAATTATTTGTTTTCACCCGGCGTAAACACCCACGGGTGGAATGAAACGGGTTTTTATTGGGTTTTTACCCTCATGTGGGTTTTTACCCGGGTGGAAACCCATCTCTAATTGGAACACACTAATAACCAATAGATATTTTATTTTACAATCATCTTAAAAAAATTAAAAAATAGCGAAAGAAAAACTGGAAAAACTATATAAATAATCAAACAAATAAATAAATAACATAGATAAAAGCCATGGATAAAAGCATGTCAGTGATGCAGAGGTTGGCTGCCTAATTATTAGGTCGTTGGCTGCCAGTGTGACAGTACCTGACAGTTGTGGTGGCTGCTGATTATTTGAATTTGTTCGGTTGGATTTGGATTGATTGAGTGAGAAGAGTTTTGCGTCCAAAAAACAATTTATTGTATTGTGAAGTAGTGTTACCTACTAATCCAGAGAAATGAGTGTAATCGAAGAGTGGAGTTTTCAAAATAACATTCGTGATATTGATGTAGATCTTTTCGATAACTTTGCGCAAGTAATAAACATCAAAAGAGATAACATTCTCATATTACTTGATGATGGTTTCAAAGTACAAAAATGTATTTTCAACGGTACGATAAATTATAATAATGATGACGAGCTTCAGATTTTGAACGAACAAAATAAGCAATTGAGGTGTGACATCGAATCTAAAATTGAAGAACTCGGTCGACAGCAAAATAAATATGAAAGTTATAAAAGAGGTTTGTTTACAAACATACTATAATATTACATAAAACTTAATCATTGGATGGAGTACTGTTTTTTAAGATTAACCTGAAAAAAAAAGCGTAAATAATCTGGTTTGTTTGTACTTTCAGATCAGAAGCTTCTCTCACAAGAAGTCAAGGAAACTCATGAAGCTTTCTTGATGGCTAAAAAATGTTACAAGAAGTTTTTAAGAGTATATTATTCAATAGAAAAGCGGAATAAAGACAAACAAACAATATTTTTTCAATTTTTTACCGAATCTAAGAAGGATGCTGAAAACTATTCAGTCCGTTTGATTCGTGATTCTAAGTCCGGATATTATGAATGTAAGTCATTTAACAAGTTATTATATTCATAGGTATTTTATAAATTTACACATTTAATCATGTATGCCATACCACCATAGCCTTCAGGTTCAGAATGTCCAATTCCCAAAATGTCCAACGGTTTCAAAATGTCCAATTCCCAGAATGTCCAATTCCCAAAATGTCCATTTCCCGAAATGTCCAATTCCCGAAATGTCCAATTCCTGAAATGTCCAGTTCCCGAAACGTCCAATTCTCAAAATGTCCAATGTACTATTATGATGGGTTTATTAAAATAAGTCCTCATAGCCTTTCTTAAAAATTAGTAATTAATATATTTCTGTACGAGTGCGTTTAGTTTTTGCAAAATCGGCATATAAAAATAGAAAATTTGTATTATTTGCAAAAAGTACGTAGAAAAAAATTGTAGCTACTGCACTTTATACTCGTACAAGTATGTATAGTTATTTATATTTTTTCTATTGACCTAAAAAGGAAAGAATAATTTGTAAATAAATAAATTATTATTTAAATTTAAGTATGGTTAATTGTTAAATATTTTTAAGAAAGCCTATGAGGACTTATTTAACAAACCCATCATAATAGTAGATTGGACATTTTGGGAATTGGACGTTTCGGGAACTGGACATTTCAGGAATTGGACATTTCGGGAATTGGACATTTTGAGAATTGGACATTTTGGGAATTGGACATTCCGGGAATTGGACATTTTGAAACCGTTGGACATTTTGGGAATTGGACATTCTGAACCTGAAGGCACCATAGCCAGATGATACATTATACTTTTATGGAGACATACTAAAATAATATTATTATTTTCAGTGTTGAGTACAACTCCAAAGCTGAACTCTCTAAAAGAACTGCAGAGGAGATTGAAAGAAACCAATGATGTTCCTGGAATTATGTGCAGTATAAGACAAGCTTTTGTTGTAATTAAAGAAAATAAACATTAATTTTTTATAATGTAACAACAACAACGAAAATTGTAAATGTGGTAAAGAATACATTTAGGTGAGAGATCTATTCCGTTTTTTATTGAGGGACAGCTCAGCTCATTTCTATCATTAGGAGTCATCAGCATGCTTTATCATCCTGCGGGCCTAAAAAGGCCAAATCACGCAACATTGCTAAAAGGAATTCATTTCCAGAATTCATAGCAGATCATAAGCAATTCCTCTAATTTTCATAAAATGGTCTTACATTTTGGCAGAATTGCCGCAATTCAATTCATTCGCAGATTCATATTCGGCGTCAATGTTGCCACATGTGAATAATAAAAAATGAACATGTCTCCAACTTCCTCATTGGCCCTAGAGCAATTCCAAGTATACCATCAATAAAAGCCTAATTAGAGTCATCAAACCTCTCAGTCATTCAATTAGAGCCATTAGAACTTCATAACTATGAGTTGTTTTCTATGTGTAAGCTGAGGACACGTGTCTCCAGCTGACACATCTGTATCTTCGTAAATATTTATGCTACGATAATGTATTATACCTCAAAAATTACAGTCGAATCCAAATAGTAGGCTTTCCACTTTTCAAGACTTTAGCTCAAATACTGTTAAAACCACGATCAAAAAACTATGTGCGAGCTGGAGTACCGTGTCTCCAGCTTACACATCTGTATCTTCGTAAATATTTAAGCTACATCAATGTTTTATATCTCATAAATTAAAGTCGAATAAAAAAACCCGACTTCAATTCTTTCAAAGCTTTATTTCGAACCGTTTTCGAACTACGAACCGATACGTATGTGTAAGCTGGTGACACGTAACACACGGTGGATTATTAAAACCGTATAAGTTAGAGTTGCGTTTTAAAGATCAAATAATTCGTTATAATTGAAGTACACACGAGACATAATTTCAAATCTCTAGGCCTCTTAGTTTCAGAATTAAAAGCCAAAAACTATTTTCCCGCCAAATAATTCAAATAATATGGGTCGACTGCGACGTTGCCGTTCCGTGCGTCCACTAGAGCAGTCGAATTTGAACCTAAAAACTAGTACTGTTTGAATCATTTTTATTTGTAGTTTAAATCATTTAATTTCGATTATAAGAATTTTAGACTAGGAGCCGGCTGATTTGTGTATTGAGTACCTAATAACCTATAAAATATTTTGATAATAAGTTTTTATTTTGATCACAATGTTTTATTTAATCGAGGCAAAAACATTGCATCTATACTAATATTATAAATGTGAAAGTAACTTTGTCTTGCTTTCACGCCTAAACCACTGAACCGATTTTGATGAAATTTGGCATAGAAATGGTTGAGTCCCGGGAAAGGACGTAGGATAGATTTTATCCCAGTTTTTGAAATATGATAAAGATTTTCATCATTATCATATCATCTGAAAATTATAAATAACTTGAAAAAATCGAGTATTCGGGTAGCCCTAGTGATACTCTACCTCTGGGCTTCGGCTTGACAGTACTTTTTGGGAAACCTTGTACAGGTGAACAATGGTGGCGCCCCCTATCAATGTGTTTGGTGGGACAGTTCAGTTTAGTGGGTCTTTTATAGCTGAGACGGTTCATTGTTCAATACAATCAATTCTTTCCTCTCTATTATTTTAGGTGCCTTATGTACGTATAGATTACGCACATTCTTTTTATATGAACGTAAGGGTGGGATTTAGGGGGTCACAAAACCGGTTTTACCGAAACCGAAAAAAAAACTGTATTCAGACATGGCAAAACCAGGTTATTCTTGGAAATATAATAGCTAGAATGAAATACTAAAATAACAATCAAAAACGTTTTTATTCAGCTCGATTATTATCACAGATCAATTAACATTTTTAATAATTAAGGTAGATACACTTTACTAGAAATCCGATGATCTACGTTCTTGTCGGGTATCACTAATGAAATAAAATTCCTACTTCATAAAACTAATTAATCAGGTAAATTATTTATCACAGATCGATCAACTTTTAATAACCTAGGTAGGGTAAGGTGGGGCACAATGTTACACGGGGTACAATGTTACAATGCATATTTCTCCGTCCCTTTCTATTAGTTGTATGATGTTGGTATACACGTTTGTCAAGCTCATAAGAGCTGCTGAACTGAGCCGCTGAACATCATACAACTAATAGAAAGGGACGGAGAAATATGCATTGTAACATTGTGCCCCACCTTACCCTATACTTTACTGTGTAGTAGAATACTGGTGATCCACGGTCGGGTCGGGGAGGTTTCCGGCTTTTTTTTTTTTTGAAGGGACGCGCGCTGGTAGCTGGAGGAGCTTTTCCAGCTTCACCGGGCAGAGTGGCGAGTACAGAAGGTACTCTAGCCGTTTGGCGATCGTCGGTGCGCGTGCCGACGAGGCCGAGTGTGGGCTTCGCGAAGCGAAAGCGAAGACGTTCGCGATCGGGCCGTAGATTCCGGCTACTGGGACCGCAATTAACTGGGACAGTGGTCCCAGTCGCTGGATCGATAAAAATTAAATATTTTTCTTCCAGCGACTAGGTTCACTCATAGATAACTTAAAAAAATATATTATTCATTCCAAAATCGGTATCGTACTAAAAGGACAATGACCAAAAGTGGTCCAAATGTCCACCACTAATGAGACCTATATTGGCTTATGGTCCATTAAATAGAGATTAACTTTCAGTATGGGACGAAAAATAAATAAACTGTCAGTAAAAAGTTATGACTGTATGAAAAATTGTAGTAGTTTACGCGCTAATCTCAGGAACTACTGGTCCGATTTGAAAAATTCTTTTTGTTATGGATAGCCCATTTATCAAGGATGGTTTTAGGTTATACAGGGTGTTAGGTAAATGGGTATATGAGCCGACACTAGCACATGTTAACATGGTCATATAAATGGTATGGTGAAGTCAGAAAATTGATATCTTAATTTTAATTATTTTAATTTTCATACAAATCGGATTTTATAAAAAATATTTTGTATGAAAATTAAAAATATTAAAATGATAATATCAAATTTCTGACTTCACCATACCATTTATATGCCCATGTTAACATGGGCTAGTGTCGGCTTATATACCCATTTACCTAACACCCTGTATAACATCACCCTACAACCAATAGGGGCGGAGCAGCGACCACCCGACCATAATTCCAATATTGTTGTCTTTCTTCTGAGTTTTTTTTTTCTTTTAGCGAGAATCTAACACGGCACACTAAGCGACATGATTTAGTTTCAACGGGACACAATTTCAACGAGACACATTTTCAATCAGACACATTCCCACGTGGACACAGTTGCAAACTGACACAATACAGTCAGTCGAATAAATGAAAGTGAAATGAAAAATATGAACATTAAAATAACTATATTTTATTACAATTAAAAACAAAATTAAACAGAAATAAGCATCTTCGCGTACTTTCCTTAAATCAATAAAATAACCTAAACATAACTAACATAGACCAATCAATAAAATTTACCTTGGCTTTTAAGAGGGGTAGGAGGTCAGCTAAAATTCAGATTTCGTGACGTTTCCGCACATAGATATGGAAAGACTAGCGGCCGCCCGCGACTTCGTACGCGTGGATCCCGTTTTATTATCCCCTTCATCTATCTTATGTGGTTTAGATTTTTTCATACAAATGTTTTTTCCCGCTAACTCTAATTTTGCAATATCCTGTTGTAACTAAGCTTTAAGTTTACTAAGGTACCTGCATGCTAAATTTTAAGCGTCTAACTTAAGCGGTTTAGATTTTTCATACAAAAGGATTTTCCCGCTAATTCCCGTTCCCGTGGGATACTCCTAAGTATATTATAACCTGCCCAGGAGTATGAAAAATAATTGTACCAAGTTTCATTAAAATCCGTCGAGTAGTTTTTGTTTCTATAAGGAACATACAGACAGACACGTAGTATTTGAGATCAAAGTCAGTCGTTTCATATATTTTTAGAACTCAAATACCACGATGCACAGTGGTGCTACAGCTTTGGTGCCATAGTAATAAATGCTAAGGCGGACGTATTCTATCAGAATACAGCACTTTTATTTTTTGGCCGGCACTTTTGATTTTGGACCAAAATGGATGATGTCCTTTAATAACTTAACATAGGTACCTACATAATTAATACAGTGTGAGTCACGTTAAAGTGTACATATGAAAATAGATGAAACTAGACCTATTTTTATCGACAAAAAAGAGGTCAAAAATTTTTGGAGATTTTTTTAAATTTTTTATAGAATTTTTTTTCTTCCAATTACTTATTGTAAAGAAAACGTAATAACTTTTAAACTAAGCGGTATATCCTGATAAAATAAACACAGTAATAATGCTAAATAACAAGCGATACTAAAAAAATACATAAAATACACAAAAAAGGCCAACAAATAATAAAAAATGATACTTTTTAAAAAAAATCTGCTTTTAAATTCGTGTTTTTTTGGTTATTTGATAAATTTCTCCAAAAAATGCCCATATAACCGGTGGTTTTTATTACTTTGTATTATTCTCTATCGTAATACCTTCGTAAAACCAAAAATCGCATGTCTCTATCCCTATCACAACGTTTGCAATGATCGTTTGAATTAAGCCTCTCCGGGCGCGCCATTCAACGCTTCGTTAACAACGAAACTGAAAATGGCTCTAGATTTGTAATTTTGATAAAGACAAGTTAGATTTCAAATAAAAACAAAATATTTCGAAGTAAAATAAGCATTTAAGTTAAATTAAAGTTGTCTCTACCTGTAGCGGAGAATAATGTTGTGGCAGGCCTTTGTTCAAACGATCATAGCAAATGTTGTGATAGGGATAGAGACATGCGATTTTTGGTTTTACGAAGATAATACGATAGAGAATAATACAAAGTAATAAAATCCACCGGTTATAGGGGCATTTTTTGGAGAAATTTATCAAATAACCAAAAAACACGAATTTAAAAGCAGATTTTTTTCAAAAAGTATCATTTTTTATTATTTGTTGGCCTTTTTTGTGTATTTTTATGTATTTTTTAGTATTGCCTGTTATTTAGCATTATTACTGTTTTTATTTTATCAGGATATACCGCTTAGTTTAAA